GCGAACAAGTCAAGCCAGCGGGCCACGAGATGCTGCAGCCCCCACACGGCAGTCAGTGGCACAGTGGAGCCAAAATATATGTTCAAATATATATGTACATATAAAGTTATAGAATTACATATGTAAAATTTAATTATTATATATATGTATTTTTATATTTTTATTTATTTATTTATTTATATATTTCTTTTTTTTTTTTTTTGTTAATTTGTTTCTTCTTATAAATTATTGTAAAGTAGATGAGAGCTTAGTAGATTTATAAAATATTAAAATAAATGCATATATAGTAACGGCAATTTATATGTCGAATTATTAAATAAATATAAACATTAAAACATATAAATAAAAATATTACAAAATTAAATAGAATTGTTTTATAAATTTATTCGTATTTTAATGCATTTAAAAGTGAAGTTAATTCTGTTTTTAATTAATTTTAATTTCTATTAATTAGAATTAGGAATTAGAATTTTAGCAAAGATTTTTTATATATTATATACAAAAAAAAAATATATATATATAATAAAGTTAAATAAAGAAGCTACTCTATCACCCACTAATACTTACATAAATACAACCCATTACAATATATTTACTCATATGCTCGACTACTGTGCAGCATGAAAGTGAGGGAAAGATTGGCTGTTCCTTGAATTGCAGTTGCCTGCGGTTCAGTTTAGCTGCTGTTGTTGAGGCTGGACGTCAACGTCAACTTCAACTTGGACGACGACGACGAGTTGGCTCCGGCCACAGCCTCTAATCAGATTCAGATGTCGTCGAAAAATGTGCGACGCGCTGGCCATTTTAGCCCTGGCCGCGTAACACGGTAGTTGATGCTGCTGCAACGGTAGAGTCTGCTGCAGAGCAGAAGAATGACGAAGTCATAGCCGCGATGCGTCAATTTTAGATTCAACAAAAATGATTGCAATGCATGTTGGGATGTTCGGATGTTCGGACAGACAGAGGCAGAGGCAGAGGCAGAGGCGGAGACAGAGGCCAGGCAGGCAGGCCAGTCAGCAAACAAGTTTGCACAGCCAGGGAGTCAGTCAGGCAGTCAGTCAGGCTGGCTGGCAGGCTGCCCCGCCAGCCAGGCCGAGTCAGAGGCAGTCGCAGTTGGCAGTCGTCTGTCAGGGCAACTTGTGAAATGCCAATTTATTCGTTAGCAAATATTGCATCTGATAGAACAACAACAGCGGACCCCGAGCAACTGGATGAAGCGAGAGCTCTGGCTCTGGCCATGGCTCTGATTTGAGTGCCAGTGCAACATATGCAGACATGACTGCCAGGACACAAAAGCGCATGGATCGCCAGCAAAATGTCTGTGGCAGAGAGCCGGGCTTACCGGCTACTGAATCATGTGTAAAAATCTTAAGTGCAAACAATTGTACGCGTTTATCGTGTCTCTGGGGCGACGACCACCATTGAAGCTCGACTGGAGCTGCCTGTTGCAGCAGACGGAGGAGACGGGGCAGACGGAGTAGACGGCACAGAAAGCCAGCCAGGCGAGCCTGGCAGCAGGCAGCAGGCAACAGGCAACAGGCAGGCAGGCAGTCAGAGATTCCGTTTAATTAAGCGCGCTTTTGTGAAAATTGGTTTAAGCATTTTTTGGAAAGCCCTTAAGGTAGGCACAAACTCCAACTTACTTGCAGCAGTACTCTATACATATAAATATATATATAGAAATTTACACATATATACATGTATATACATATATGTATATGATGGCTGGATCGATTGATCGCTTTGCCAAAAAAGAAATATCCATCAAATTGATCAAAGCTAATAAATCATGAGATGCCACAGCAGAAGAAGAAGCAGCAGCAGCAACAGCCAACATCAACTAAAAGCTTAAGCAAAAGGTGCTCAGCGTTTTGCTGGAAATAGCCCCCAGTTGGGGCCAGGCTCCAAAATTAGTTTTGCGCTGCGTCCGTTATGACGACGCACGTAGACCCCAAATGCTGACCCAATAATTATGCCCCTTCGCCCAAGAAACTGAGAGTGAAACCCAATCGAGGCAGCCAACGCAACCCAACGACAGACATAGCTAAATATATACATATAAACATATGGTATATACAATATGTGTGTGTGTATGTTGCATATATTTATATATGTAGGCACATTCTATATATGTATATATATATTTAAGGTACATCTCTTGTTGTATTTGTTGCCTGCGGCGATCAACGCACATTTTTGCTTATCAGTTAGAGACAAGCGAAGGTTTTCCATCTTAAAATACCCTAAAAAGTTAGGTAAAACGACTTGAGAAGCCGATAGGGCAGCTGGCAATGAAAGTGTAGTATTAGTGTAATATATTACTTGAAATCAGTTTTATGAAAGTAGTACTACTATGGAGGTCAGATAATTCTACTTGTATAGATAATCATCAGATTTGCTATTATAATTAGATATTTAACATAAATAATAATGATTACATTGATTTAATGTCTACAGTTCAATAGATGAGCTTTGGAGTTCTGATTACCAGAGAAGGTTTCATATAAAACAACAAACTCATATGAAATTCGATTGATTTCCAATGTTGCACCATGTGTATAGAGTATTCGAAATTCGAATATCTACCAACTGAGACACTTGTATTTCTCGTTTAACAAATGTTGAAAATTGGCCAAAAGTAAATTTATATTGTTGTTCATAGCACGCGACACAGAAGCAAGAGCGAGAGCGAGAGAGCTGATGAACGCAACAAGAGAGAGCTAGACAGACACATATATATATATAGAGAGAGAGAGAGAGAGACAGAATGAGAAGGAGAGGGAGATGGCGCTGTAGTGCCCCAGGGGCAAATGTCACACCGGGCCCATTTGTACGTCTAGACATCTTCTATGTTTCAGTTGGACTCCACCGGGGCCGACGCTGTTGACCGAGCTAATCAATTTTAAATGTGTTTTTGCGTGTCAATCGCTTGTTTGCGTGCCGACTTTTATTGATATGTTTAATTTGCTGTTGTTGCTGTGATTTTTAGTGGCTATTGCTTAGCATAGCTCAGCTCAGCTCAACTCCATGCTATAAGGCATTTTTTATTAATAATTGGCTGCTCGCCTTGGCTTTTGATTGTTTTTGAGTGAAATTCATTTGATTTATTGCACAAATTATGGAAAGTTTCTAAAGGGGTGTGCGCGCAGCTCGCGACACTGATGCCAAAAGGCATTTATAGGGTATTATGCAAGCCAAGCAACAACTACAACAACTACAGCAGCAACAACATCTACTTTACACTTGTCGCTGACGCATTTTACAAATTTGGCACGCTTGACCATAAAAAATGGTCCGAACCATGGCTAGAAAAAAGTGTGAAACTGCAAATGGCGTCGCCTTGGTTAGACAGGCACCAACCAGCTCCTGCCGCCTGGCCCCCTTCTCGAATCCATCCTTCTCAAAAGCCATCTCTGGCTCTCGCCCCGTTTGGCATTGCATCGATTAGCATAGTTGTTGCCAGCTACAGATATATAAATATATATACAGATATATATAGGTATATGTATGTGTATATGTATATAGACAAACAGACATCTCTATATCTAATGCGAGATTGTAACAACTGCATTAGGGCTGTGGGCGTGGCTGGCGACAACATAGGCCACGCGCTGCAACGGAAGTCCAACTCATTTGGCCAGCGGCAAACGGAAAGGATTTCTTTTTAAGCGCATCCTGAACGCACACGGCCAGGACAACTCAATTGATATATGTTTATGTTTTGTTACAAACCTTTTCTTTACTGCGTTCCCTTCGTTTTCTACTTTTTTTAAGGCAACTTCCTGTACCGCTTCTGCTGACAACGCCATCAATTTATCTATGCCTACCCGAATATTCCCATTTGAATCATGACACGCTACCAGCTTTCATTGCGTCCATAAAATTGCCTCATCTCTTTCCACATTTTTATTTTGTATAATTAAAAAGCATTTTGGCCAAAAATCCCAAACAAAATCTCAATCAATAAACTCACAAATTACGATGCGAAGCAAATAAAACAAGGCTAAGACTCGACGGTGGACGACTAGAAGATACCCTAAGGAAAACTAGATGAGCTGAATCTTTCATATATATATATATATATAGATTATATATAATATAATGGAATCTATATACCATATGTGAAGTGCCTCTGAAAAGCTGTTAATGTTTCATTTTGAGTTTGCTTTTATTTATTAATTTATAATCATTTCATATTTCCCCATATTAAGAAAGCATACTCTCTATATTCTTACCCAAACCTCCTGCTGTCTGTTACATACAATGCCAACATAACTATCATACTCTGTTGACAAAACTTCAATCAGTTCAGGCTATAATCATAAAAGAACACAAACCGAAGAAAGGCAAAAGACTGTAAATATTATGAGAACCAGTTCACAACCCAAAAAACGAAAATAAAAATCCATTGATTGTTTTATTTCTTGCATAGTTATGTTTTTATGGCAGTCGCTTGAAATGCTCGTGGAATATGGGATGCCGAATGCAATAAACAAAACAATAGATGGAGCACTAAGCAGATGCTTGTTGAAAGTTTGATGAAGTGAGATCGGGCGATATATGTATGCATTATGAGCAGATATATATCTATATCCCTTTCCATAAAAGGGGCGTCATTAAACCACAATTTGTATGCATCATAAAAGTGGGAAGAGTCAAAGGGAGACCAGCTATAAAATTAGTGATTTTATGATATTAATTGGGAAAACTTCTGTTTACGAGCTCTAATATGTGAAAGCATGGGAGAGAGAGAGTAAAAGTATTTCCTCTAACAATAAGACTTGCTCAATTAAAAATATATGAACATAAATAATATTAATAAGAGTTCGCATAAAAACTTGCATAAATATTGATGAGAAAATAAATACAAAATTCAATCAATCAATTTATATATTCTACTAATTTGTTTATTATTGTTATAGATCTTTAATATGTGATTGATTTTTCGCTCTCCCATGTGTTAAGCTCTCTCGCAAACTCTCCCTCAATTTGTATCCTGATTGATATGAAGTTTCCGTCTACAAACACGATTAGGAATTACAAAACTCCGAGAATTTATTTTTTATGGCTACCTTCGAGTTATCTTTATCTGACAAATTGTTGGCATTGTTCGCATCTAACTGTACAATACAATCGTATTATTCTCTCTCCTATATATGTCCTTATTGGAACCCAGGCAGAGGGTTTGCTACGTGACGTTATCTTCATATCCCACATAATGACTGTCACGCACATCCTTAACACTTGTTCGCTGTAAATTCGAGGCAGGAACAACACTTTCCACACATTTTCATTGCTTCCGGCTACTAACTCAGTCAGCCTCTAATAGAGACTTCAAGAGGTCAGCAGCAACAGCAGCCCACGTAATTTCAGTTGTCCAAACAGTTTTTCCGGCTAATTGAGTTATGAGCAAAAACAAAGAGAAAACAAACTAAGAACAAGATCGATTACGATCAGCCCAATACAATATCATTTACCTTTCCCAAGAAACCGTCGAGCACAGACAACAAGTGCAGCAGGAATTGCACGTGCAGCAGGTACCACAGCTCTAACAGTTGACAAGTTCCAGGAACTAGCTGAGGGAGAAAGTAAAAGTGAAAATTAGATGCTTATCCTCGACACAGGTGCTGGCGCCTAACGGTGAACGGTGAACGTAATCCGCCCCCCTCTTTGATATGGACAACTCGTCAACGACTTCTCACAATTGGCCAAAATAAATAAGCGCACCCAAATTATAATATATATAACAAAACATTTTTGGCTGACTTTTAATGACAGGCCATAATATAACGTACTCAAACATATATAAGTATAAGAAATGCAAAGCACGCAAACTTGGTGGGTTTGTTTTTTGGGACAGTTTGCATGACGGCAAATATTTCAGGTATTATTGATTACCAACATTTGCCAAATAAATGGCTCTTTAACTACTTTTGGTGAAGCTGAATGTGTTATGGCGCTGCCGCAGGCACCCGGTCTGTCTGTCAGTTTGTCGGTTAGTCAGTCAATCAGCCCATCAGTTTCTCAGTTAGTCAGTCAGTCAGTCAGCTACTAGCTTATCAATCTATCTGCCTCTCAGTCAGTCAGTCAGTCAGCCAGTCAGTCAGTCAGTCTGCCAGTTCGTCATTCTGTCAGTCTCTCAGTCAATCAGACATTAGACATTGTAATAGCACGAATGCTCCCTGACTTTAGCGCTAATTTGCATTGGGCTCGGTCTGCGGGATCGAGCACAGGTTCGGGTCGGGACTTGATAACAGAGAACGTCGATCGCTTCAAACTACAGAGCGGAATAACTTAAAAAAAAAAAGAAAAAAAAACTGCGTTTATTTCAAGCGTTGCGCACAAAATAAAAAAGAAAACAAAAGCAAAACCAAAAAAGAAAAAAAAAAAACAGAACATACAAATAGAAAATGAAATAAAAATAAAAACGCGATCGTCTGTTCGTCAACAGCAGCAACAGTAACAATAATAACAACAACAACAACAACAACAACAACAACAACTATAGCTACTACAATAAGAATAAACAATATAAATGGCCGCATCGGAATTGCTAATTTGCTATTGAGTTTTGGTTGGTTCGCTTTGGGTTTTGTGCTTGGGTCTGGGTCTGGGCCGAGGGCCTCGAACACGTCGGGTTCCTGGTACGTATCGTCTCTCTGTCTGTCTATCTGGCTGGCTGTCTGCCTGTTCTGCTAGCTCCCTCTCTCTTTCTCTGACGACATTTTTGATTTTTGTGCGACATTTTTGACATGCGGATGTGCCATGTTAACGAGAGAGTAGTCCCCGTCTCGAAAGACAACTGTTTCCAAAATTAGGCCCCAGCACAGCTGCAAACGATTTTCAACGATGCACAAATCCTGAGCCCAGAACAAATCCTTTTGCCATTTACAATAAATTGAATTCGACCAATGCTGTTGCGGTCAAGCAAGCCCTGCCCACTCCGCCTCACAATTCGCTCAATTTGAGAATCAAAGTTGCAACTGAGCCCAACCAGCCAGGCAACCAACCGAAATGCTACAAAACCGCAGGAAATTCGTCGAATTTGCCATGCGGTAAACTTGTGGCTAAGCCAGCAAAAAGGATGCACAAGCAGCAGTCCTTGCTGCAGGCAATTGTTACCAAGTCTCCTTCTCTCTATACGTCTCTCTCTCTCTCTCTCTCTCTCTCTCTCTCTCTCTCTCTCTCTCTCTGTCTCTGTGTAGACTGCATCTGTATGCCCCATGCTGAATGCGTTGGCGTATGCATAATTGATGCGAATGTTTGTGGCAGTGCCCAGCTTAGAAACCAGAGCCAGTTCTCATAATTGAGTCGAGCTGCACTGAACCTTGGATTAAAAAAAAAAGACACCAGCAAACCAATAGAAACATGTTAGAGCGACTGCATAATACTCGTTCGCAGCCTGAATTAAATAAAGATTTTAACTATACAACTGTTTACTAACAAATCCAATTCAATCTTATAATTTAAAAACTTATATGTAAATATATACATAGCTAATATTTTACTTGAAAATTAAAATCTTCTATCAAATAAAATCAATCAATTCCTTCGACATACCTTGCATAAAAGCTAATATACCCTCCCCATTTGATGAGCGAGTATGCAAAAGAGCTGTTAGCCAAATTGAAAACGAACAACAAAAACTGCAAAGTTCATTCGAGCAGAGATTTTGGATGAGGAATACAATTAAAAGCTTCCATAGTAAAGCAGCAAACCAATTAGAAATTTTAAAAATTCCTATTAGCTATGAAAAGGTATCAGTTTACAAATACAAATATATATCATATGTTACCTCTGCTTGTCAACAGCTATCGAAAGAGTCATAAAATATTGGCACACCCATAAAATTCCAGTTCCATTTGGAAATCAAACTGTTTTATTTTTTCTCTAATACAACAATAGTTTAATCCCACGTAATTTTACAGTTACTCCCATTTGTTTTTTTTTATGATATCTACTACCAAATTGGTAAATATATATTTTTTTTTCTATGGCGCCAGCCAGTCATAGAAATAACTCATAAAAAAATTAAGGAAAAAACGCAACAGCCCGCAGAATCTAGAAATCCACAATAGTTTGTTTTCTATTTCTCTATACGAGGCTCAACCGTTATCTAAATGGTTTATTTCACCTTCCCTCGACTTGTGGCCGGCAGAGCAATAAATTAATCAAAACTCGAGTGCGACTTCAATTGTAAACGAGTGTCTGGGTTTCCTTGGAAAATTGCAGCTCACACCTACACGCAGAGGCGCAGGCAGAAAGATCTGTAAATGATTTGTTTGACAACAAACACAGTGGGACACATACTGTGGACCTTTCGCAGAAAGGTAGCCAGCGCAGCCCAGCCAGTCGACCAGTGTCTATCAGTGCAAATGATCGAACACCGAACGTTGTGGAAATTGCAGTCGAAGATTATCAATATCGTCATCGTCGCCAGGCATCGCCTGTGTGGCCGCTCGAGTGGGCATCATTAACCTTTTAAATGCCAACAAATACATTGAACATTGGACAAGGGAATGAGGGAGGGGGAGACTGAGGGACTGAGTGAGTGAGCGACTGAGAGACCTCTTTGCAAATGTCAAACGTCATGGCACTTATTGATGTTTGCTCAATACCAATCCGAATACCCGTCTCGGCCCATTCCTCTGATCTTATAAGCCCGCACAAAGGGGTACAAACAAAAGGACACCAGAAGCAAACGGCGACACACGCGCACACACCAATTATCACCCACCCCCATCATGGAAAAAAAAAGAGTCGATTGCCCCTCTCCCTCGCTCCGTCCACACTCCGCCTCACTCCGCCTCACTCTGGTCGTCTTCGTCTTCGTCTCGGGCACAAAGTCAAACGTCATCGTTGACAGGCGAGTCATTGCTCAATGAGAGAGCCCTCACTCACAGCGTCTCAGTGTTAATGAATAAGCAAAACAATAAAGTGAGACCATGTAATTTCAACAACAAAACGCTGCTGCCCATTGGCATGCCTTTACGATCACAGATTGTGAGGGCTGGTCAAATGACATACGCCGGGATATAATATTGTATATCAAAATAGGTTTTGGCAGTGGAATCTAATTAATGGAAATGCTTCTGGGATGAGATTTACTTGGAACGGAAGCAGGGAGTGTAATGCTTAATTGCTGTAAATGACGAATGCAATAGTTATCTACTTGAACGAATCATCGCCTAAGCTGCACATTCATTATTTAAGAGTTTGTCGTAACTATTCAAGTACAATAATATTGTTTTTATATTAGCAATAAAAATATGTGCTGTGGACGTTAAAGCAGTGTCTGACATGAGTACAATAAGCAGGACAGGCAAATGAAAAGTATGCTGCTTGTAAACTGCTTTCTTTTGTCTCATGGAAGTGCTGCTTGCTCTTCAACTAATGGAAGCAGTTGTTGCTACGGGCGTACAATTATTCAAGAGTAAGTCTCAACATGGCGTGACTTTTAAACTATACAAGGGACTCGCAATAAATATACTTAGCAGTCTCCAAGCGAATAGTTATTCCATTTGTATAGTAGGTGTATATAGTGCTTGATAAAGTTAGCTATTAGCATGCTTTACTGTATTTAATGTGACTGTTTCAAGTGCATGACAACCCAATCCAAGCCGCAGCAATTTCTATTTCACTGCTTGCTTTTCAAGACAGCTTTACAGACTGTTAAATAACATTACGTTTTCACTGCTGTTAAGGTTGCATTTCCTAACGCTGTTTCAATTACCTTATTGGCCAAGTTATCCATACCGCAGATGAGGCGTTCGCGGAAATATCTACCGATCCCTGCCCACCCAAGGCAACAGTTAGACAATGCAACAATGCCGACAGCAAATTGCCATAGCGACTGAGAAAATTCCGCAGTTGTTGTTTATTTTGGAAACGACGCAGCCAAACACAACAAATGTGAAGCAAAGCAAACAAATGGAGAAATCATGTTTCAAAGTGCCTGACTAGATAACTAAAGAAAATAAAACACAACGCTTTGTAAAATGTGTCAGTTAACAATATTTTTATACACTTACATTTAGTCAGAAACACCGTAGACAAAAAAATATATAATTTTTAAATTAGATTTATATACATATATATATAAACGAAAAAGTGTGAGGAGCCGCAGCCACAATGCCAAATGCCATACCAAAGCGTGTGCCCATGGGCAGCAAAGGCAACGGCATGGATCTGCTCAGCAATGTGGTCACACGCACTGAGGTCACCGAGATGCAGCTCAAATGGCAGGATAGGCCATGTCCTGCCCCGCCCTGCCAACAGAGCTTCTGGTGGGCCAGCCAGCCAAAGCCAATCAAAATCAAAGGTTGTCCCAAGTAAGTTTTTGCACAGATTTATGGGCGGGCGCGGAGTGTACGTAAATCGGACATGCTTTCATAATGGCCACTGAGGTCAATGAATCCAGTTGTCGGCCTGGCCGGCTTATCGAGCAAAGAAAATAGTAAATAGAAAACACAACAGAGAAAACAGAAAACGAAAGTTCTAACCAAGCTATAAATTGCGTAAATGAATTATTAAACACTAGTTGGCATGTTCGACGACTAGCCGAGCCCACTTGTCGGCGGTTAGGCTCCACTGGGCACGCAAGGAATCTATATAGACCAGCGGTTAGTGTGACTTCAAACTGAAATTGACGCACTTTGCAGTTATGAATGTCGTTAAATGCAAAAATAGACAAGCTGGCAATGCGATACAATACAAACTGTAGACGATGGGTCACGTAAAGGACATCGAAATGATGTGCTATAAGAATGTTGGAATCCTTCAAAATGTCGGTGGTAATAGGATGTAGATTAAACTATAAACCTATTTTCAAAATGAGTTGGCCTTCGCTTATAGGGAGTGTGGAATTTTTCCATTACTCTTGATGATGATATGTTTTCAAGTAATTAAAGGTTTATAGATAGGTAGATTCACTCATATTTAGAAGTCTTCTAATTGAATATAATGTAGAGATAAGAGTTGTTACAATAGCTACCCACCAATCTGCCGGCCTCTGTATGTAGATTGCATCGCGACATCAACTTTGACCTTTAGCTGGCAGCCACGCCCCACGCCCCACGCCCCACTCCCCTCCCTCATTAGGCGACACGTCGATAGCTCCAAAGAAAAGGACATGACTGGGCGACGACTTCATTAATTCTGCTTATCAACGTCGCACGTCAACTAGTTAAGCTGAAGCTTGCAATTGACCTTGGCACAGGACAAGGCGATTCCGAGTAGGCGATAGCTACGCCTACTCCAATTCAATGTCAGCCAAATGCGTGAAGTCATCTCAGCTGCGGCTCGAGGTGTGAGATCAAGTGGAGACGGAGTTTCAGGAAATGTGGCACTTGATAGAAACACCTTGTGGAGTTGGCCTCCGGCTCTGGCGAATTTCAAGGACATGCCACATAACGAGCGGCCAGGAAGCGCTTTTAATTGGAAACACGACCCAGCGGCGCGAAACTTTTGCCAACTATTCGAATACATAATGCGGCATGCAAAAGGTTTCGCCCGAAACCCGAATTTGGCGGCATTTCAATTGTGCGGCAACAGTCGACAAAGGCAGTTAATTGTTGGCATATGCGAGAAACACCTCAGCTCAGCTCACCTCACCTGCCGGTCGGTGGGTGGTTGGAACCCCTGCAGCTGTTTGTGCTGTATTTGTGTGACGATTGACCATGCGATGGCCGAGCTGGCGACCGAGGGCCGATTGCTGCGGTCATTTGGCGTTCGCCACTCGAACAGTGCGGTCTGACGCGTGCTCCTTGCCTTGCTCTGTCCACAGCCACAGCCAAAGGACAAAGGGGCAGCGAAACACTAAAAAAAAAACAAGAAAAACTAGAAAAAAGTAATATTGATTAAGTTCTCGGTGTGTGTATCGTGGCTATTTATACGTAGGCAATGTGTCGCAAGTGTTTTGATTGACCAAGCCAGAGAGTAACATGCCAGAGGGTAACAGCAGCAGCAATGAGCAGCACATAAATCCAGAACACTTCCCAGACAATAGACCGGAGCAGCGAGCACAGAACTTCTCGTTTGCCACCAGCTATCCCTATGCACCAGGACGCAGCACCAACAACCACAACACTAACAACAACAGCCACAACAACAACAACAAGAGCATCCATCAGCAAACGGCGTACAACGTGCAACGCTATCAGAGTCCTTACAACTTTCAGCACGTGGTCACCAACGCCTTCTCCGTGCTGCACAATTCCGTGGAGCTAGACGAGCAGAGCACAGCACAGCACTCGAAGCCCAATCAGGCCATTGTGCGTCCCATCATTCGCGAACAGTCGGAACATGTTGATGAGCCCATTGTCGCTGCGGGCAGCATTTCATCGAATCCGCCGCTGACCACGCGCTCGTTCTTCTCGCGCAGCACACAGGAGGTGCGCAGCTTCGCCGATGAGCTGAGCCAGAAGCTGCGCTTCCTGGCGCCGGACGAGAACTACGGACGCGGCGGCGGCGGTAGCAGCGGTCATAGCAGTGCCACCGCCGCCTCCGGTGCCTGGCTATCCGGACGGCAGATGGAGCGACCACGTTTCGAGACGACCGTGCCCACGGGCATCTTTCTGCCGCCGCCGCATGAGCTGCAAATGCTGCCCCCATCCATGTTGCGGCGTCATGTCTATGCCTACTCCTCCTATCCCATGATCCTGCACAACTACTATAATGCCAGCAACCAAACCAATAACAACAACAACAACAACAATAGCATTCAGAACCCGAATCAGAACAAGGACACCAATCGCCAGATATCGCAGAATGATAAGGAAAATAACAAAGCCTCCACCAGGCAGAACGGTGTGCGTGCCACAGCGGCTGTGGCAGCTGCCACTGCTGCTGCGGCGGCCCCCAAAGGCGATGGCTCCTCTCTGGCCGGTGGCCTGCACATAACCAAGGCGCAGTTCCAGCAACAGCTGCAGCAGCGACGCAATTTTAATAGCGACAAGAGGTAATAAAAGACTGGGCGCCCCATTTCCCCAGCAAAACAAATGGCTATGAGTAGCCGACTTGGAGATACCCTGTAGCCATAGCGTAACTGCTGTTTTCAGCAAGCTAAATGCTGCTTAAGGACTCTTTGACTTATTATTGCTATTATAAGGGAAATGAGAGAGGTGTACAATAGACAGGTAGACAGAGAGACGTAAGAGAAACACAGACAGGCATATTCCGACCCATTGAACTCGCCCTGCTAATAAACCATATAAATCCCAAGCCCCCTGCTGCTTATTAGCCCAACGACAGCATACCCTATTCACACATTTTCAATGCGTATAATAAATAGCTGGGCTAGCAATCCTCCTTCCCACCGAGAGGTAAAAGCAAAAAATGAGCTAACTGCTCCACAAAATATTTCCATAAATTCAAATGAGATGGTGGGGTGGGCGATGGTCGCTTATTTTGGGGGCTGACCAGTGGTGGTTCAGTGGTCAAATCGTTAGTCAAACCACCTGCTTATCGATTGCTGCGTCAACAATTGAATTGAAAACGTGTTTTGTTTTTTATTCAATTCCCTGGAAATTTTAAAAGTCCAATGCTGATTAATTTATTTGGCGCATTCGTTAGTCAATTGGATTTTCCGCGCAAGGACATCGCACGGACATCGACATCGACATCGTAATGTGGCATGCAACGCGCCCATTTCCCTGCAACGTTTACTCTGCCTCTCCCTCTCTTAAATAATTTAAATCAAGATTTTATTGGCAACAACCAAAGCAGAAAAAAAACAAAAAAGAACTGGACGGAAATTTAGCTTAAATGCCATATAATAAAAGCAGAAAAAAAGCCGACTGTAGGATGTACGGCAGCAGGACATTGTATAGAGCACGTACGTGTGATACGTATATATAAAAGAGAATATAAATAGCATATATGTATATCGGTATGAGCTCTAGGGGCTATATGCATACAAATACAAAATATTATTTGTCCGCCAAAGTGTTGCCTACTTTTGCTGTGTGTTGTATATATATAAATATACATAGGTATATGTGTCTAAATGAACTCAATTTGATATTCGGTTATATGGTCCTAGGTATATTAAATACATATAATATATATATGCATAATAGCTTTGTTCACATATCAAACAATAATATTCATTAGTGCATATTGCTTCCGATAATCTATCTAATCTATCATGCTCATATCATAGTGTCTAATATAATTATATAAATTTTCCCCATAAACGGTTTACTAAAATACTGCAGTATGAATTATAATTATTCTCCAAATCAAATATTCTGATTTATAATTACCAACTAAACTTAAAATTGAAGTAAAATTTTAACCCAACATCTAATACGGGCATAGCCTGGTATAACTTATAGATCTGTCTACTAGATATGCCTATCTGCCTGCCTAACTAACACACTAACTTTAGTTCAAACTTGAGCCAACTCACCTGCCTCCTCAGGTCGCACTTCGGCTATACGGCTAAGCTTATTTTGACCATATACATATACACCCTGCTATGGTCCTTTACGCCTATTGAAGTCGTCGCTGTGGTTGATTACTTTGTATTTCAGGACCCAGACCCCGTATGGTAGACATTTACCATTTGGTTGTGTGCTGCTTGGCTGAGAACTTCAATGTGACTTCCTGTTAGTGGGCCACTTCTCTGCGCCAACAAACTCTAAAAATTTGCATAGGTCACGAGTTCAGGTTCCAGGCTCGCTAAGGAGTGCAATGTCTGACAATGTTATATATGTGTTTACCAATACCACTAGCCCACACAAATACATAGTCCTAGACATATACATTCACACAAGTACGTGGCATCTAAATAAGCAAGTCATAAATTACTGGCCAGTCCAGGGGCAAGTGTTGAGAGTCCTCTTTAAGCATTTCTAGCAAGCTGGCTTTAAGACCGTCTGTAAAGCTAGCTAGCTAGCTAGGACTAAGCCGCTCTGCCCATTGACCCAAAAGTGTAGTGAACTTAACGGAAATTGATTCGAATCGGAGATGACTTGACAAGCCAACGCCCCCATTTCAGCTGTGGGGGGTGTAGCAAGGCAAGACGTGATGCACTACACAAATTCGATGTTTATCGCGCGAAGAGTGCAACAGATTTTGGGTATAAATAAGCCTCTATATTCTTCAGAGCGTAGCCCCCGTCGTAGTTTGTTGAACTGGGTCGAGGTTTACTAATTGCCAGCTGTAACTCTGTTATAACTCTTTCCAGGCCCGTCGTGCCGCCGCCAGAGCCATATATGAACATGATGTACGACCGTCGCGTCATAAAGGGAAGCAACTTTGGTACTCCGTCAATGCTAGTGAGTGTTAATTGTGACAGCAGCAACCCTGACCCATGAGTAATTGGCATTCTTTCGTTTGTAGGCGGAGGTGGATCCATTTGACAAGGCTGCTGAACTACGGCGCCGTAATATGCTGCGCAAGCGTTCGATGCAGTGCCGCAATCAGCGCAATGTCTTAGGCACACCACCGCCAGTACAAGGACGAAAGCACGAGAACATACAAACGGAGAAATATTTGGAGAAGCTGGTCCAACGTCCACCAGAATACTCAGTAGACACACAGACCGATCTGTTTCTGGAGAAGCCGCCTACCCCACCCTATGTGCCCGCCAAGGTCGGCGTCGATGTGGCCACTGAGATTGGCGAAGGCGAACTGTTTCACTTTGATGCAGAGGCTCAGCCGATCATTGATGTCCTGGTCGATTCCTGTATTGAGCAGAGCATGCTTGAGGTGGCTCACGAAATGGAACTGGCTGCGCTGCGTCGCAAGCAAGAAGAGTAAATACATGAAATTAGTTATTAAGTGGATTCTGTTAATAATGTAATTCGCCTACAGATTCCTGGCTCAACGCGAGGCAGAGCTGGCCGAGCTTCGTCGTCTCGAAGCCGAAGAGCTGCGCTTGCAGGCTGAGAAAGATCGTCGTTTGCGCCAAGATGCCATTGCCAAGGAGCTGGATGAGGAGATGCAGAAGAGTGTGACAGCAGCTAAACTGTTGCAAGGACATATTGCCAGTCTGGTACCCGAGGTGCTGGAGAACATTGAGCCGGCTAGCGATGCTGTTAAGAAGGAACAACTAATGAAGGAGGTTTGCCCCTGGCTATCTGCAGAAGTGGCCCAAGAAGTTGGACACATTGTCGACTCTCGCGAAATACTTACAGCCATTATATTGGAGATTATCAAGCAACGTGCAGCTGCCTATATTGGGTACAAGGAAGAGGAGCCCGAGGCATCGGCCTCGGATGTCGGCATTTGCGAAGAGGAAGGATGCACAATCGACGATATGGAGACATGTCCATGCGAACCGGAAACCGAATATTCCGAATGTCCAGAGTCTCAGCCAGAGCCACCGCATCTGTGAGAATTGGGACATAATTAAGAATATGATAAGACACGACTTAGTTCAGTTAAGTTTCGAGTTTGAGGCCTGCCCGACTGCAGCTAAGTGCGCATACTAACAAATCCATATAACAACTGCATTGTAATTGTGTCTGGCAACAGGCGGACGAAACACGGCCGCATGCTGCCACACACAATTTCATTAGCGTGAAAATTGTTGCATCAAAAGTAAGCAAACATTGTTAAAGATTTATGTTTTACCGGAGTATTCAGCAATAAAGACAAAAAAAGATTTGCAACATATTTTAATTATTGCCAAAAGCCGTTACTAGCACAGTTCCTAAACGTACTAAAATTTCCTTTACCTCATTTAGTATTTTAGTATTTATATGGAACTGTTGGTATTTATGTGGGTTTTGCGTGCAGTCACACCGATCTATCAAAACAATCAAATCCAGCATGTCCAAAATATTCACACCCACAAATCAAATACGCCTCACAAATGTGGCAATCGTGAGGTTGAAAAAGGCAGGCAAGCGCTTTGAGATAGCCTGCTACAAAAACAAGGTGCTATCCTGGCGAAACAACAGGTAGGTGAATAATTTTTAACGGAATATGCAGAACTCAATAATTTAAACCAAATAGCGAAAAGGACATCGATGAGGTACTGCAAACACACACCATCTTCACGAATGTGTCGAAGGGGCAGACAGCTAAGAAGGAAGAACTGCTAAAAGCATTTGGTGCCAAGGATGATACGGAAATTTGCAAGGAAATCCTTAGCAAAGGCGAGCTGCAAGTCTCCGAGAAAGAGCGACAAAGTGTGCTGGACTCGCAGCTGAATAGCATTGTCAACAGTGTGGCTGCACTTTGCGTAAATCCAGAAACGCGTCGTCCCTATCCGGCCACCATCATAGAGAAATCCCTGAAGGATGCACACTTCAACGTCAAGATGAACAAAAACACCAAGCAGAACACGTTAGAAGCCATCAAAATCCTACGCGATCACATGCCCATTGAGCGCTCCCGCATGAAGCTGCGCGTAAGCTTTGCCGGCAAGGAAGGAGGCGGCAAGCTGAAGGAATCTGTTGTGAAACTCGCAAATACCGTGGAGCACGAAGAATGGGATGAATCAACGCTGCATTTAACTCTACTAATCGATCCCGGACAATATCGAGTTATAGACGAGCTGGTACGCAACGAAACAAAAGGTAAAGGCCTTCTGGAACTGCTGGAACTCAAAGAAGTTGTGGAGAGCGATGAACTTTTCTAGATACATAAAAGCCACAAATCGTATATAAAATATATAGTTGGTTATTTATGTTAACAAAATTTTGAATGCATAAAGATTAAACGGTGCGGCGATCCTATTGCTTCACTTGCGCTTCTTCAGGTTCTCGAAGCGACGTGACAGTTCATCAAAATCGATTTCATCATCATCGGGCTTATCGCTGCCTGGAACATCGGGAAGATCGTTGGGTACATTGGGCAACGAAGGCAAGTCCATTGGAGGTGGAGCGCTGGGCTGCTCTGGCCCGCCAGGTGGCAGCTTTGAGCGTGGTTGAGGTTTCGGTTTATTGGCATTCTGCAGAGAGAAACGGAAATACTTGAGTCAAATATAATAGGTTCAGCAGTATGTGTAAGTCGTGTGGTCAAGATCAAGTCGAAGCTGACCTGCAAATTAACAGGATTAATCGAGGAGTAACGTGGCGGTGGATCGTTATGCGGTTTGGGGCGCTGTTGTTGGCAAAATAAAGTCAAAATTGAAATCATAAATAGTTAAAATCATAAATAAAATTATGGCTGAGTATAAATACATATATCACAAGCAGGAAGAGTAAATAAGCAGATACCACGACCATGACATGACTCATTACAATTGATTACTCTACACTTACGCGCACATTGTGACGTCACAACGGAACGACGACGGTACATTTTGGGTTACAGTGAGTGAGTGGTAAAGTAGAGAGTAAACGAAAAGCAAAGTTAGTTATGGACCAAGTCCAAGCGACCGACTCAAAGCTAACATACCAAAATATTTTCATCCGGACTGCCAGAGCCATCCGATTGTTCATTCTTAGTTATATTTTCGTGCTGAAATTGCGCAATCATGCAGGAACATGCCAAAAACTGAGCTCAACAACTACTTAGGGATTATTGATTATTAATGAACTTACATTGATGAAATTCGTATTCAAATCCTTTTGCTCAGCGCACTTGCCCTGCGCGGAAGTCGTTGGTGGCGGCTGATTGGGCGGTATATTGTATGCGAATGGAGGCGGCGGCTGCACTGCAGCTGCAGCAGCACATGCTCCTCCTCCACCTCCTCCAGCACCACCACCGAAAGGTGGATAATTGAATGGCTTGCTGCTGGGAGGCGCTGGCATATCTGGCAGCTGTGGCATTGGCGGATAGCCAATGAAACCCATTTGAGGTGGTGCAGGTCCACCGCCTCCGCCACTTAGATTATTACGATCTGACAAATCGATCAGATGATGCTGCTGCTGATCAGGCTTCTCCTGCTCCTGCATCACCTGTGGATCTGGTTCGTATTCAATGTTGTAGTTCTTAGCAATGGCTATCAAGTAGTTCTCCACAAGCAACTTAGGCGGTGCCTGCAATGTCAGCTTATGCATCAGTTTCTCTGAAACGTAATGTTCGCCAGTTGCAGTCCGGGCATGCTCTGCGAACTCTGGCCCATACTTTTGGATGAAGATATCGGAGATGACTTTCAATTCGCCAATATCGCTCTGCAAACGGGGACAGACCCACACCAAACTGGACACAGGTTCGGCTATGCCAGCATCCAGTTCTTTCATTTGCTGGATCAGGCCAAAGCGTGCAAGCAGCAGATCGCAGTACATCTCAACAATTTCCATAGCCTCCACCAGGTAATCCTCGCTTAAAACCAAGCAAAATATGACTTCGATTTCTCAGCTTACAATTTACTTGCAGCATACCGTATAATATGCTCCACTCTAATGCGTGCCCTCTCTATTTTACCCGTCGCGAGGTATTCGGCGATCTCCTTACGGGACTTCTGGGTCAGCTCCGCCTTCTTTTTTTCCAACAATTTAAGACGATTCTGCGCTAAGCGTAGATTCGTCTTAAGCTTGTTGTAGTTGGGGCCACTGGAGAACATCTTGTCACCTGTAGCTAGTTTCCGTATCTACTATTTACTATAATTTTTGCTGCTTCGATGATTCACTGATTAGGGAAAAACAAACTCTTTGTGTGACGTCAGGACTTGGAACTGCCAACCGGAGTATCAGAAAATACACAAAAATTTGGCTGAGCTAGCGAAAGCCGTTTTATATATGTACACTGACCAGTGATATGTATTAACGGATATAAACAAATTAGAATTATAACTACTATGGTATTTACATTTTTAAAAATAGTAATCTTTCGCCAGTCATTACATTTTATTAAAATAATAAAAGTAAAGCAATTTTGCATTTAACTTAATACCAATAAATATTAATTTCATATTTTTCATTCATCACGTATATAATTTGACTATTGTAGGTCAGAATAAAAATGGTCTTCAAGTTTGATATGTTAAAACAATGTTTATTTATTTATATAATTTACTTTCGAAACAGATCGATTGGAATTGATCAAATACATTTCGTTTACCCTTTAATAACAGAACTAACAGTCTCAAGTATCGGCTCTGCCAACTTACTCAAAATACATTGCTACGTTTTTTACCCATTGCTTCACTGACTGTTGTTGCTTCATCTTCCTCTTCAAAATAATTCGCAAGAGCTGCGCGCTCCTTTCGCGCTGCACAAGACGTCGTTCAAATTGCCATTAATTCGAATTTAAATTATCAAAATAAAGCGTGCATTAAGACAAGTCAATTATGCGGTCATTGTGTTTTATAAAGGCAAACGTGTCGGACACACGATTTGTCAAGAAAATTGTGAAAATTAAGAAAACTCCAGTGATAAGTGGCTTGCGGGCATTTAGTGGTCCCACAAAATTGACTCACTGCCCTACATGCCAAATAGTGGTACCTCTATACATTAGACGTAAACGCGCCAGAAGCAAACGTCGATAAAAGTGCGAAGCAAAACGCAGTGCTGAAAATGTTTGTAAACAGCTGCTGGCCAGAAGACCGCCAGATGGCGTGGCCTCACCTCGCTTGTTGGCATTGCCAGCAGCGAGTAAACGCCATATTTGATTCTTCCTCATCGCTTTGGTGTTTGTTAAAGAAAGCGAATTTTCATGTCCAAGCATCTGAGGCATATATTGACTGAAATTCACAGATAAAACAAAATGATTTGAATATAATGTGCAAATGTGTCTGTGTATACAATCGTGAGTTGTAAGGCGTAGAAGCAGCAACTACTGGCCAAAGCCCAAAAAGGTAAAGAAAATATGAATGCAAAAGGAAAATTGCGCTGCTGCCTTACGAGGCATGTGACGTCACAGACACACACGCACCTACTGCGTACCAAACAATGCATGGCGCAAAACTATAAGAACAACGTGTCTTCCTTGCAGTGCTCGCCATGGAACAGTACATAGTACATAGCAATAGTGAGGACATGGAAATGAAACCCGTCTACTCCGACCTGCAAGTGGTGCAAGTACCGCACGACGAAGTGAGCGTAAGTACAAAGAAAACGCCCCGCAATGTGGAACTGCGAACTAATACCTCTGCCGCAACAGTCTCTTGTGCTACAGGACGATCAGCAGCTCGTCTTTAGTGATCAGCAGCAAGTGGTCTACCAGACCGCTGCCCCCGCGCAGTATCAACAGCCGCAGCAGACTGCGACGGCGAGCCACTATATTATAGGCGCCGAGCTGCAACAGCAACAGCAGCAGGACGTGCAACAGCAACAACAACAACAGCAACAAGTGGTGATGCATCACCAACATCAGCAGGTGCACTATCAGCAGCAACAACAGGAAGTGCAGCAGCAGCAACAGTTGCGTCTGGAGCAACAGCAGCAATATGTTCAACAACCCGCCATTCAACACACCCAGCAAATCTATTACACATCCGATCAAGTGCTGCAGCCCAACACGATTGTGCAGCACGCCTCAATGCAGCAACTGCAACAGCAGCAGCAACAAAAAAAGCAGCAGCAAGTGCTGCAACAGCAACATCAGCAGCAATATCAACAGCAACAGCACACCGCCTACCAACAGCAAACGACACCCCTGGTACAGGCGGCACCCCAGCAGCAGCAACAGTTATTACAAAGTCCACAACACCAGCAGCAAACCCTTCAGCTACAGACATCGCCAGCGCAGCAGCAACAGCCACAACAGCATCCACAGATCGTCTACCGCATGACAACGACGCAGCAACAGCAACGACAATTAAGCGTAAGCATTAACCAACAACAGGTTGAAACTATCAAATAGTACAGTAAACTCAGCTGTTTAATGCTTTAATTACGAATTTAGTATAGATTTATATATATATAGATACATTAATTATCACGGCGCTTTCGCCTTAGACAGCTGCCAACATTTATTGCTCAGCCGCACAACTATTTTCGTACATACCCCAAACTTGGCGATTGAGTCGCGATCCTATTTGGTCTTTATAACAATCTTGATTCTGCTAGCTACAGAATGAATTGGACGTATCTAGATGTCAGATAGTTGGCTAAGCCTAATATTATCTTATATATACAATTTTCGTATAATATATAAATCATTCACTGACACACACTAAACATAGCGGCAACCGCATTATAGTCTATTATTATGTCTTTGTGTGAGTTGTATTCTTGTCAGATTATTGATTTATCATACTAATGGCAACAAATTGCTTGCAGATGCTCAGCAACACTCATGTGATTGTGCAACAGCCCACTGGACAACAGGTGCTAATACAGGCTCCCCAGCACCAGGAGCTGATTATGCGCCAGGCGACTGGTATACCGCAACAGGGAATCAATATTCATGCTTATAACAATCGCGTGGTGTACACCACATCGCCGCAGCAGCAACAGCAGCAGCAGCACGTACTGCAGCAACACGTGCAGCAACAACAGCAGCAGCAGCAACAACTCCATCTACAGGCACAAACCACACATCTGGTGCAGACACGAGTGGTGCCACAGCAGACGGGCAACGTTGTCTACCAGCAAGTGCAACTGCCGAAACCCACGTTACAGCAGCAACAACAACCTCAACAGCAGCAACAGCAACAGCAACAACAGCAGCAGCAACAACAACAACAGCAGCAGCAACCACAGGGGCAAGTACAGGTGCAGCAACCCCAGCTGGTGACCACAGGCACACAACTTGTGCGTTCCTCCTTCCGCGGCAAAGCGACCCGTGGGGGTGCCATCATAGCCAGACAACCGACTGGCACTGTGATAGCAGCACGCCCCGCCCTAGCACCCACCATTGTCCGGCAGATGCGGCCGCGTGGCGGCCTTCAGACAGTTACCGGTGGCATTGTGCGCAGTGTACGCCCGCAGGGTGTGAGGCCCAATCGAACGCAGCTTGTGGTGCAGACAACGGCTTCCGGCGACGGACAGACCATGCAGCTAGTGACTCAGCCACAGATGGCCAAGCAAATAACTATAACGAACTTGGGTCAGCCTACGGTAACGGCGCCGGGCCAGCAGATGCAGCCGCGCCACATCTACAGGCATGTAGTGAGTGAGGCGGGCCCCAATCCCCAGCAACAGCAGCAGCAGCACCAGCAGATGGTGCTGATGCGCCAACAACCCATTCGATATCGACCAGCTCCAGCGCAAACGACTGCGGCGCCTGCACCCAATACGAACACAATGGGCCTGGATCTGGAGGAGAGCATACAAGCTGTGATGGTCAAGAAGGATCCGCAGCAGCAACAGAAGGCAGCGCCAGGAACCATGCAAATGCAGCTGCCGCCAGCGGGGAATACTACATTGACGACCTACTATCAGCAGAGCTCGGCCACCAATAGCAGTAGTGAAGAAGAACAACAGCAGCAACAACAACAACAACAGCAGCAGCAGCAGCAACAACCACATCAACTTCAGCAGCAGCAACAGCAACAACAAACGCAGCAGCCTGGTGTGAGGACAGCCAGTGGCGCTACCATGAGCCTTTCGGAATATAAGAAGCGCCAGACCATGGCCAGTTCGCCGGCTCCGCAAGCTCCGACTACCACCGGGCCGACAGTCATGCGACCGGCACCTGCGCCTGGAACTCTGGTCCGATCGGTGCCCAAGTTGGTGCCGCAGCCTCAAGCCGCACAGCAGCAGCAGCAGCAGCCCAATTCGACCGTGGCGCGAATCATGCCCCAACAACGAGTGCTTGCCACAGCGCCAACGCCTCCACACGCTTCCTCTGTGCAGCAGACGTCGCACAACAACTACGAGATTCATTCGCAACACGTACTGAATAATCGAGCGGGCCAGCCCATTGCGGATCGCGATCGCAACAGTGCCAAGATGTTGGTGATCCTAGCCTCCGGAGAGCAGCGATTAATAACGTTCACGCTGCCGCGGGAGTCGTGCACCGTGCAGGATCTGCTGGAGCAGGTTTGTGTGCCCTTCGACAATACCACCACTATTCAGTGTGTGGAGCATCACGGCGCCAACGTGGACTTTGTGGTTACGGTAGGCTTTTCCGTCAACGAATCTGCCAGCGAACTGATTTCTCGCGCTGAGGAGAGTCTTCAGATGAATCGGCAGCAGGAGAACGCCGCCGCAGCAGCAGCAGCAGCGGCGGCAGCCGCAACAGGAACAACAGCAACAACAACCACCACATCTGCCTATAATCCTCAATCGACAGCAAACAATTCTGGAAGTACGGATCAGGCCAAGCGGGATACAGCAGCTTCCAGCACGGGATCCGCGTCTTCGGCTGCGAATACACAATCAGATGGGCCCAAGTTGATCGACGGTTACTATGCTGTCTGTCAGCTGTGCGGATTCACGGGCATGGATCATGCCAAGTGCGAGAGATGCAGACGCGTTTTCCAGGAGCCACCCAAGCGAAAAGCCTATGTAACTAAGTCTTCGAATGCAACTACAACAGCGATAGGTGCATCAGGATCATTGACAGGCGACTCGGCAGCGGCTGCGGATAAAAAGCGTGAGCTGGCACGTCTCAACAAGCAGGTGGTCGGCGTTGGCTCCTTTACTCCGGGATCAGCCACCGTGCGAGGCAGAGGCATGGCCATTAGAGGCGGACGGACTCGCAGCGGTCGAAGGGTTGCCGAGGCCGATCCAGTTGTCTTGCTCAGCAGTGAGGATGAAGCTGAACAGGACGATTCCAATGGCAACGCTGGCAGTG